TAAACCACAGAATGCCAAATATCTCTGTGTGCATGTGTGTTGAACTCTACAGAAGTGTATATGTTGCTATTGTCCCCGCTTTAAAGGGGGCTACACTAAGATGCAGCAATGTTACAAATGTTGACACTTAGTTCTGCAACAGGTAGTCATTCCCTTTCCCCAAAATAAATGATAAAAAAGCATTACATGCAAAAGGTACTTTACTGTATCTTGTCAGTTCATTTATCCCTAATACAACAAACCAAACATCTTTACTTTTTCTTCACACTCATATTTTGAATAAATGATGAATGAAATCAATCTGCTAGAATGAAATATTTAAGCTGTACCCCAGTTTCAATTCATTCTTCGATTGTTTTGGCTACACAGCTGAAAAAGGGTGTCTACTCACTGCTGTGTTTCTGGGGCTCTGTCGTCTTGGACATGGTCGTTTTGCGGCTTTGATCAGACAAACACAGAAGATTTACATAAGGCCTGACGAAAACCTTTGAACCTTTGGTCCCTTGCCAAGTCAAGGAAGCAATGTCAGGCACCAGTTACAAAAGTGACAAGATCATTGCTTCATGATGCAAGCCATTGTGTGCACAGTGTGACATAATACATCCGTATAGATTTTTTAAGGATAGCAGACACAAAACTATGCCTGGTATTTTTCCTATATTAATTTTTGGGTTATAGAGATTCCCCTGTGTTGTGACACTGTATTTTTAACAATACTTCAATAATAGAAAAAACATCAAAGCACATCCGCTTTCATACAATAAGACTCAGTACATAACACTACCACTAAGATACACAACAACAAACACCAACTCAAAGCCTGTCTAATACATACAATAGCTCTATATAATAATTTCATTTCTCTCATAATTGAGAAAAGAAGATCACTTAGCAACACAGCCACCAAATCCCAAATAAAAGTGGGAAGATGGCCCTCTACATCCATAGCACCTTCTCATCTTCAAGAACAGATAAAAAATGTTCTACACTATTCCTTGTTTAAACAAATACAACATTAGCATTTTATTAAAAGTATGTTGTATTACTTTCTGAAATAAAAAACTTAGAATAATATGGAACATTGAGTAATGAATTCCATTCCACCTTTTCTTAATAATGAACCCCTGGCAACAGAAAACGACCCTCTGATGACTACAGAGTAGAATAATAATGGTCTGTCTGAAAATAATGATATGTTACTGTAGAATATTTCTGTGGATTTACTTATGACAATATTTTTATAAAGCATACTAGAGAATAATGCAACCTGCTTTTGACACTTGCCTGTAAATATAAAACCAAGCCAAATGATTATTCATTGCTCACTCTTGTTCGACATGGGCAGTGAAGAGCAATGCAAGCTGCTTTTTTTATGAGCTACCTGTAACATTTTCAAATTACTTGTTGTGTTGGACCAAATCACTGAAGAATAATCTGACTGTGATAACACTAATGCTTGCACTAATCAGTTGGTTAAATAGCTAGGCATGAATTTTGTACAGTGTTTGGAGCAGCCATGCTTCTGCCCAATTTTACAAACATTTGATCAATTTGGTTGTTCCAAGACATTTTGCTATCAACAGTGATCCCTAATAGCTTTGATCAAAGGAAACTTTGCAAAGCACTGCTGTTAAAATATATATACACATGGACACAGGCAATCAGGATTTTCTTTCAAAGACCACCATGCAATATTCTGTCAGTGTGTCCAATTCTGATAAGCATTGTTTTCAGCAAGTGACCCTGCATGCAGAAAAAATAGGCCTCTCAGATCTATAATAGTTGTGGTGGATTCGAAACCAATGTTCAATGAATAACAATACTGCTACTTGTAAACTATGTGTAAATGCAGAAGAACAATACTCAAAGGGAGAACACTCAAATGTAGGAAAAGATAATATAATGAAAACTTAAGTAACAAACACTTTGTATAATACTAAAAATGACAGTTGTCGACAAGACAGCATAATGTCTCTAAGTGTTTTATAAATGTATAGGTTGGTGGAGGGATTAACATTTAAGACAGAGCAAGGGTGAAGCAATACATAAGAGAGTGAATGCCATTTTCAGCTAATTGATATTTATTTGTCACAAAAAAAGGCAATGTGGACATTATCCAATGAAAATAGAAACATAAAGTGACTGTAAAGTGAGAAGGCACAAATGCCAAATCAAATAAATAATACATTCAAGCAGTTCAACCCTGCGTGGTATGAAATGGGCTGCACCCAGTCCCACTGCTCCCTTTCCAGTCTTTCCCACTCAGCATGAAACAACTGGAAACCTGGCAAGTACGCACAAGACTTGTAGGAAGACCAGTTGAGTCAAGATGTGCTTTTCAGATTTAATTAAAGTAGTTCCCAACATAGGAGTTTCTAACGGATGATTAGCCAAAAATGTTGAGAAGCACTGAAGTAAAACCACAGTAAACAAAGACATTAACATGAAATAAACATATGTACCAACAATTGAAAAGTGAAGTCAGGCAAAGCCTTCTGTTAAGTAGGAAGGAAAATGATAAAAGCAAATCAGCAGCAGAAAGCCAAAGCTTGGATTTACTTCAGCCCTCGGGCCCAAAACACACTCCCTGTGGCAAAAAAGGCAGCAACTGCAAAATACAACTGTATATATTTTTAAGGCAAAAAGTTTAACAATATGTACTTTAGTGGGTTCAGAATGGGCTCAGAATTAGACTATTGCTACAAACCAAAAGATCCACCACACTGTTCTTGGTCATACTGCATACCAGTGATGGTTGTTGGATACAAAGAGGCATGCAAGGGAAAATTGTTTAAAAAAAACACACCACTGACAGCAGCCAATAGCACGAGCTGCCACACAAATATTTATACATTATTACAAAATCTTTCTCCTTTGGTCCACATGGGGCACGTCAATGGCCAGTACAGTGTTTACTGCCTCAAAGTGATATAAAGGAACCATAAACCTTACAGTGTCATTCAGGGTTCAGCTGCTGCTCTGATAGGGAAAACAGGCTGAAGCATACCTGTTACAAACCCCCAGGGGGTTTCAGCTGACGAGGTGTTCTGCTTTGCTCAGCCATGAAACCAGTTAGTCTCATCCCGCAACATGACAGACTGCATCTGACTGCATATAAACATATTTCAGTGGTAAGAAGCAGATTTTGTAGATCAGAGGTTTTGAACTCCGTATGAAGGGTCGGTGATATATCAAGTTATGTTTCGCTACAAAAACTGCATCATCTGTTAATCTATTTTTTAAATCTCTTTCTCTGTTTAATGCAGTTATATCAATTCAGCACCCAGTTCATTATCTTGTGTAATCTGGCCACTATCAACCTATCAAATTAATGAATACAAGAGGTTTAATTAGAAAATAGGAAAGGGAGGCATCTATTCTGGATACTGGCCTGTAATATGTTTAACAGTGTTTTAGAGATTTGAAGAGTAACTTTAATTAGCTTTCAACTAATTGCATATCACAGCTGTAGAGAAGCTTATGCACACACAACAGGGATGCATGCACACGTACACAAGTACACACAGGCAGACACAAACACATAGGCCAAGTATGCCTCAGCTTGTTTTGCTGCTGTAGTTGCCTTTCAAGTGTTTTTTTCATCCTATCAAGTGTTTTCTCCATTCTGTAAACTATAGATGGGTAACTCTAACCAAACTTTGAAACAAAACTTTAAAAACAACATGGTGCTGTATATCCAGCTGTTCTTTGTGGTGTATTCATTTTTTTACTATCATTTTCAATGTCAAAGTTCTGTCTGACCTCCTTTTCAGATGCTGCAACCCACTTAGAGTGAAGAGTGAAGATTTCTAAATGATGCAACATATAGCACAGAATTGTTCTCTTTTGTAAAAGAATATAAGTCAATTTGGTGTCTAAACAGATAAATTGTCCCATCTAGTGGTGAACGGAGAAACTAAATGATTCATGAACAAGTCCAGTCTGCCTCTGAGGTAGTCTGATGAAAATGTTTTTTTTTTCTTTCTGAAATACTTTGTATAACAGCACAATGTTTATTTAAACAGGTCATAGACCAGAGATGTAACAGCCCAAACAATTAGTAACACCTTGAAGATCATTATCAAGCATTTTATGTTGAAATACTGACCATTCCTCACCACCTTTCCTACTGACTCTACTTATTTACTGCACCATAACACCTAACCTTTATTGTGCCATGTAATATCACCCAAACAGTCTTTGACAGATTTACAATGTCTGCACACTGAGTCACCTCAGGCCAGCAATCTCTGACACTTTCATACCTCAGGAGTTGTTTCTATGTCCTCCGAGTCTCATAAAACATTCAAGTTTTGTTCATTCAAGTCATTATTACAACCTCATGATACACTGGGTCAGTGTTTTAAGCAGTGCATTTACAACAGCAAGTTAATGAAGAATACCAAGAATGGTTAAATGTGAAACATGCTGAGTGATATGTTTGGTCATACAATGTGCCAGATTCCTGCCACTGCAGAATTCACTGCAGAACTGTGTTCGTTGTAAGATGTCAGAAAGATTGTAGTCTAGCTGTCGATATTTTCTGCACCAGTGACACCATCTGTTTCTCATTGTCCTGGTTATTTATCATAGTAATGCTTCTGAGTTTGATTTTTGTTTTACATTTCCAAGAAAACAAGCAAGGACCAATGATCCAGATGTTGGCTTCCCATGCTGTTATGCAAGCAGTTAATTCCAGGTTTCAGGGAAGAGGCTTTGTGTCATGGAAAGGAGTAAAGGTGAGTTAAAAAAAACTAAATATGATCTGGAGGTTGTCTGGAATGATTCTCCAACATTTACAAACATACACATACCATGCATGTATACATATGAACCCTCATGAATACACATATTCTATGTAATGAGTAAACGAGAGTACATTGTAGCTCTACATGAAGGTCATGGGAAATGTTCCAGAAAACACACCTGTACGATTTGTCAGCCAGGCAGTTGCACTGACTCTCGTTGCCATTGGTCCATCTTCATCCTTGGAGACCGTGCCAAACCAATGTTACCGCATTCAGAGCGGGTGTTGTCTGTACTGAAAAGTTTAAAAGAGAGAGTGTGCCCTGCTGTCCCTCAGCAGAAGCATCAATCAACATGATCCCCATTGTGCTGGCCTCAGTGCTCATTGCTAGCGGTGAGAACATCTGGCTTTCTCTAATTCTGTGTGTAATTGTTTCTGCGTGTTTGCAAGTTGGTGTGTGTGCCTGCACATTACCACACAATCTTTTTATTGAAAAGAAAAATTGTGTGGGAATCAAAAGTAATACTATTGTTCTTCCTCATGAACACTCCCTGTTTCATGTCCATTACATTCATTTCTACCTCCACCTTGTCCAGCCCTTGGGTGCGGCACCCCAGCCATTGAGCCCCTGACTTCCCGTGTGGTCAATGGAGTAGATGCCAAGCCCCACAGCTGGCCCTGGCAGGTATGCTAATGTGTACACATCTGTCAATGTTTTTATATTTACTGGCAAACCTTATGGGTCTGGCATCTGCTTATTAGATGCCAGTCCCAGTGGCTATTGAAAATTCCATAATTAAATGGTTGCTTTTGAATTTAATCAGCAAACTATGCCATCCATCTATACATCCACAACCTGCTTTTTACAGTAACCTTGTATGTTGTCCATTTTCGTCTCCAGATCTCTCTGCAGTATGACAAGGACGGTGTGTGGAGGCACACTTGTGGGGGATCTCTGATTGCTGCCAACTGGGTCATGACTGCTGCTCACTGCATCAAGTACGAGAAGCAGAGGAACATAAACACACAAACACAAAATCACAACCACCAATGCCCTCATCTACGGGCAAAAGTCAAATACGGACAGATCTTCTGTGCAATGTACTGTACTTATTCTGCACCACTTATTCTGGACCCTAAACCCGATTTAACCCACATAGAAATGAAGATTGAGCAAATCATGAACTCCAGAGGGTTCCAACCCAAATGTCACACTAAAAAAACTCAAGGTCACCTGGACCGCTTCCCAGTTCAAATCCTCATCTTGCTGCCACATTTAATCATCAATTTGAGCTCATCAAATCGTTCAATTCTGCACTAAATCTTCTGTCTGGTTTAGAATTGGCCTCAACAGTCTGCTCTCTCCCCCAGCACCAAGCTCTCCTACAGGGTGTTTGTGGGCAAATACAACCTGGTCAAGGAAGAGGCTGGCTCCAAGGCCATCCTGCCTGAGAAGATTATTGTCCATGAGAAATGGAACCCCATCTTTGTGGCCTTCGGGTAAGACAAGCACTACCGTACAGTACAAGTCAGCCTGAATAGCCTGCTGTGACATACAGTACATCATGATCCCATCTGTTCTGTGTCGAAGTGACAAATTGCATTTACTCACTTTGACGCTATTTCTCTATCTCCATGCATGTCATATTTTTCCACAGCCAATAAAAAGTGCAAGACAAAGTAAATAAGAGTGGACCTCTTAAAGCATATTTTGTTGACCCTCAAATATGCGACCAGACTTTTTCCAAAGTGAAAGATTGGAGAGATAAAATGAGCCATTAAGTTGATTTATTTGTTTAGACATGATAACGATAAGAAAGAATGAAAAACCAAAGATTTTACTAGTTCTCGATGTTGTATCCAGCATTCTCTCTATCTCCTTTTTCTGCCTCTGGAGAAAGATTTCAAAATCGCTTGTCAGTATAACCGCCTCCCTAAGTCTCTTTCTCTCTCTCTCTCTCTCGCTCTGTTTCTGTCTTTCTTGCAGTAACGATATTGCCCTCATCAAGCTGTCGGAGTCAGTTACTTTGAGTGACCAGGTGCAGTTGGCATGTGTCCCTCCTGCTGGCACTGTGCTGTCCAACCTCTACCCCTGCTACATCACCGGATGGGGCAGGCTGTACAGTAAGTCACTGTTTGTGGAAGGCTGGGCTGTGTTTATGTGTCAGTTTTGTTTTTGCAGCTTAGCATTTCTGAAGTGTCTTCATGTTCCTGTCCTTCAGGGTGTGTGATGTTTTAATTTATTACCAGCTATGTGTGCGTGTGTGTGATCAAGGTTACCCATGGAAACCTCGAAAGTTGGGATGAAAATCACATGCATTAGATTTTAGTTGAAATCTTTTTGGGGGGAAGATCACTCTTAAATTGAAAATTTGTGTCGGACTGTGAATTTGACACTTGGGGAAATGCTGCAAAGCAGATTTGACAGACAGCTAGTGTATGTGGATGATAATAGACTGCCTGTGTGTTTTAGCCGGAGGCCCCATAGCTGATACGCTGCAGCAGGCTTTGATGCCTGTGGCTGACCATGCCACCTGCTCCCAGCCTGACTGGTGGGGTATTGCTGTCAGGGCCACCATGGTCTGTGCTGGTGGGGATGGAGTCGTGGCTGGATGCAACGTAAGTCTGAGGACAGAGAACATGATTTTCATTTATGTGTTTTCAGCTATTTCTTTTTTTTTTCTTTCAAAAAAAATCTGAGCTATTAAACTTGCATTGTAGAGCTTGCATAACCAGCTCTGGCAATGCTGTACTTAATTATCGCACTGAAGCAAAGTTCAATTTGAATGTAATGACTGTGTTCAGATGAAAACGTCCAAGAAATCAAAGGGGAGACATTTTTTTCACCATACTTAAGTGTTGTCTAGCTGCCAAGGAACATGACAAATGCTTCGTTCTCCCATTGTACTTACTGAAACAAAGACTCTGATTTTGATTCTCATAGTTGTGCATTGCCAGTCTACCAGTACGTCGACCAAATGAATAAAACATAATCCCTTCTTCTTTCTTTCCATGTCCAGGGAGACTCTGGCGGCCCTCTGAACTGTAAGAACAGTGAGGGCGTCTGGCAGGTCCATGGTATTGCCAGCTTTGTCTCTGGCCTTGGCTGCAACTTCGTGAAGAAACCCACTGTCTTCACCAGAGTCTCCGCTTTCAATGACTGGATCGACCAGGTAAGGGAAACACAAACAAATTTAAATTATGTTCTGAAGGAACACCTCCAGTTGGCTAATAAATGCTGTTTTCCTTTAGCTAATGACTTAATGTTTATGTTTTCAGGTTATGATGAACAACTAAAGAAGAAGTGTCAATAAAAATCAAAAAAGCTGCATTCGTCGTATGTGTAATTATTCAAACACATGTTTGAATAACAGACTCACATTTGATAAACTCACATCCAGATGAATGGGGAATGAACCCTAAATTTGTGATTCTGTGCTTTCCTGTGAGGCTAGCAGGAAATGGAAACAATGTCAACAAATGTCCAGCAGGTGTCCTCATACACTCAGAATAGGAAATTGGTTCTGACAATCTGTGCAGATTGTCCAATGATTCTGTCTGGAAAACAGCTACAACAAACAGATGAGATAGCAAATAGCTCACATAAAACAAGCAGGTGATTCAGACAAAAGTGCCCATCTACAATATGTCAAATAACATCAAGTTGCATATTGGATAATAAGAGTTAATGGTGTGTGTCGTTACGAAATAGACTTCATATAAAATATGAATGTAATATCCCTGCTTAAAACTGACCTGGTTTGTCCCCATGTCCTTTCAACAAGAGGGCTTTATGAAAATCATAATCCTCATCTGAGGAGTCTATCTTTCCTCACAATAATGCTCTGAAAATTAAGAAAGCTAGAATGGCAAAATTGAGATTAACACGTCTTTTTTTCCCCCACTTCCTGTAATGAGATGGGGATGAAAGAGTGGGAGGGGGGATTAAGAAAGAAATTCAATTGCCACTAACTTTCTGTTTTATCTCAATCTTTCACATTTGTCACATTTGCAAGACTCACACGCAGACACACACACAGACACACACACACTTATAGGTTTTGACAGGGTAATGGAGGTGTGTGAGCATCTTCATTGATATGAGAGGCAGTGATCAGACATGACACATCCTGCAAGAGCAAATAATAATGACTCTGTGTGTATGTGTGTGTGTGTGTCGGCATGCACGCGCATGAGTGTCTGTATATTAAGAGCTGACTGAGGGAGAGGCAGGGAGTTTTACTGTGTCCATGATTCTCTCAGGCTATGTTTGAGTGCATTTCTCTGATGATGAATCACTCTTCTGAAGTAGCTTTCACTGGAGTATCAGTCTGTGATCAGTGATTACTATCCCATCCAAGCTCTCATGTAGGCTACAGCAGAAGTGCTGCTCTCTGACTAATTCAGTCTGATTTGAAAGAAAAATGAAAGTATCCACAAATATTGCCTGTCTACAATTGAAGTGCATACATAAAAATAAACCTACATAGTTTTTACAAACCCTTTGTTTTATTACAGTGCACAGTACTGATAGTTTAACACTGAGTGAATATGGAATAATTTCATACTGAGTGCAGTAATACATTAAAATGTAATAAATAACCAGGTTAAAAATGAATGAATTACTGTGTCTGACCATGTCATGACTCCTACTATTAGAGAGGACACATTCTACTTGGTGCTGAATTTATATTAACTATAATACTGTGTATGAATAAGAAAATAATAATATAACTGTAATTATTGCATTATAGTCATTGGTAAACACAGACAGGCAATAACTATGTTCTGGGATTAATTAAAATTTCATTTTAGTGGTGCATTTAATTACATTCATTGGCAGTTATTACATTGACAGTCACTATATTTATATTTAATTTGAATACTGTATTTATTGAAGTATTGTTTTTACGTGTACCTCTGATTAAACTGCTGCTTTCTGGATCTGTTACCCTGCAACGCTTTTTTTTCCAGAGGCCAGTAAGGAGGCTGAGAATGAGGCCTCAAAAGAATGCTTTGTCTCTGCTGGAACTCTGTGGGTCATTGTGTCCCACTCTCATCACACACACATACACACACAGGCACAAACAAAGAGAGGGAGACAGAGAGCTGAGCAGAATCCCCCAGGGACACCCTGCTGTTGTGGTGAATACCAATGAGGCAACAGGTTTTATGTTGTTGCACCTGCTTCATGCAACTTGTTTTAAGCCTACTGAGCAGAAAGATGCTTTTAATTCACTGCAGCTCTGCCTCTATTCACGCCGAAATACTCTTAATGCTGTGCAGTTTTGAAATGGCTCCTTCACCAGTTGATATGACAGTTATTTTACAATGTGCCATAAGGAATAATCACCTTACTGTTTGAATGATGCTATGGTCTCTTTTACTGTACTGTGCAGTACTTCTGACTAACTGTCTTGGATGTTACAATGACCTTTTGCGAAAGTGTTGACCGTTGGTCCTTCGCAGAGGTGTGAGAGGAAAAGCCCTTGATGGGATGTTCCCAGGGCGTCTTTGTATAAATAGCTCAGTAGTAACGGGCAGAGGGAGGGTGAGAGGTAGAGGAAGGGCTGGGTGGAGGAGGGGGGAGGGACTTGGGGGATGATGAGCAGCCGCACTGACAGCAGCATCTCCGCTCTGTCGCCCTGAGCCTGTCAGCAGTCACTGGGAACCGGCCGGGACACCGCCAGCCTGACTTCATTAGCAGTCCGGGTCTGACCACCAGCGCGTGCTGCTGAGCCATATTGCCAAACGGTGGAGAGTTTGCTGACCTACTTCGAGACAAAAGTTCCCGCTTCACAAACAATTTGGTGAAGTTGCTGAAGACCGTAGTTCATTTTAAACATTTTATATCAACGCGTTTTGCAGCTGAGGCGGAGGAGACGACACCAAAGTACATCGGACACCAGAGAGAGGAATTAGGTAGGCTGTCGTGTGAAACATTAATGTGCTTGAAGTGACACTGAAAATAGCAAGCAAAATATTGAAATATAAACAAATGAGGCCATCGCCATTACTGGGCTTCTGCACAAATCTTTGACAAAATATTTTGAAATGTTGTGGAATGTCTTTTTTTAGGACTCTTGCAGATTTATAACGTTGTATTCATTATTAAGACAATTAAAAACAGCTTCAAAGTATTTCAAATTTGTGAAATATCCACAATTGAAATAGTAATAGGCTACTACACTTTTTCCCCAATAAGGACAACCAATAGACCAGACAATTGGCTGTGTTATAAACAGTGTCAGCACTCAGCACTGTTGATTCCCCCAACTTACAACACACAGTGAAGTTGTGGCCATGCAGCTGGGGAAGAAGGGAAGCAGTTCAGTCACATGATGATTCTGTTTGTCCACTGCAAGGTGATGCATTATGCACAAGCCTGTTTTTCATGTGGTTACTGCAGGCACAAGTCTGTGAGTGTGGTGCATGCAGTGTACATTTGGTTTGCTCCTGCAAGATATGCATTCTTTGGTGCATGTAGGCAAGTATTTGCATACATATTCATTCGATTGTTCACATGTGCACTCAAAAGGCCTTTATACTGGTCAGTGGTTCACAAGAACACATTCATGGTGTATTTTGACTCGAGCTTCGAGTTAAACCATTTCCTGCTACAGCCACAGAGCACAGAGCCATTGCTCAACAGATACTCTGTAGTTATCTACGTGTTAACTGTGGCCTCAGGGAGTGTGTCCATGTGTGTGTTTGTGTGTGGTAATTCAATCATGTGCTTCTGATCTTTGAACCTTTGAAACTGCCAAAACAAAATTCATTCTTTTAAGTTCTGAAACAATAAAGTGATTCACTGACACATTATTTTGTGAATGACGTTGGGCCTCTTTCTCTGTCATTAACAGACCGATCTTGTGTTCAGAGGAAATATATCTTGCAAATGAGAACAAATTATCCTAAAATAAATTTGAACCTCGAACATCTACTTTGGGATATGTGGGTTACGAATTATGTGTTATAAATGGTGATAATGAATAACTAGTGTGACAGCTGTGTGTTTTCTTGTGCACCACTGATGGACTGAAATCAATATGAGCATGCAAACAGTCCTCTGTTCCAATACATTGGTCACACTGATTTAATTTATCTCTCTAGTGCTCACACACACACACATACACACACCCAAACCCTGTCACATCTCTCTGTCATACCCATTCCTCATGTTTGCTCTAATTGAAACTGTAAACTGGATACGCTACATTTAGTGTCACTTGACTTCTGCGAAAGAAAAGTTCCTTGGGATGTTTTGGAAATATTCCACCAATTGGTGAGGGCAGTTTTACTGACAGTAATTCCACTTAGTGATTATGAGTGTAATTTCCCCACAGTGATACCACCAGCATCCTGAGAGGGACCCATCTGGTACAAACTAAGACCGACTTCATGCGTTTTAGAGCAGATCAAATGCATCACTGCCACCTACTCTGACTACATATTTATTTGGCTTGATCATAAAATGCCTATAAAGGGAAGGATAACTTTGAAATAAGTTCTTAACAGCAAGCTTGGGCTGTTGCAGTATTGCCCTCAGTTGGAGAGAGAAGGAAATATTTGGTATCATTAGAAATGCATTAGAGGGAAGAGAGAGTGGTATAGAAGCAAGGAGATGAGCTTGAGTTTTATCTGTTAACTCTGAGAGGGAAAATATTCTCACTCTTCTACTCATGCTTGAAATGACATCTCTCTCTCTCTCTCTGTCTCTCTCTCTCGCTCTCTTTCTCTCTCTCTACATGTCAGTCTCTTTCTTTCACACATGCCAGTACACCTCAGTGACCCATTTAAAATCAGCCACAAAAATGGCAACTATATTCCCACATGATACTCCTGAAAACACATTACTGCTGAAGCTCATTCAAAATAATTCAGCGAGAAAAGGTGCTTACCGGCACCTTCTTTATCATTTTAATAACTTCATCGCTCTCTGCCTGTACAAAGGGAACAAGAGTAAAAACGGATGTTGCAACACAGCTGAAAGGCACTTTATTGTCCTGTAATACTCTCCTATCATCCACAGATTATTATATATAACAAAGTCCCTAGAATTAATTTAGCACCTGTCTGACATTTTTTTTGTACATTACATGTTCTGAGATATTATAACAACATTGCATAGATTTAATAGAACCCTTGAAATGCTCTTTATTTGCTCTTTATTTGACACTGCAACATCTTTTATTGCCTCAAAAATCTTAAGAATAAAAAACCCTCCTGCAGATAATGGACATACGCAGGTTGTTCCATATATAGAGTCTGAGCTGACCTCACTAGTGGACTCAGCAGGCCCATGTGACAGGTAGGTTAACAGTGGTCAATTATGTCAACATGAGTGTGTGCACGGGACATGTGTGCATGTGCTGGGAAAATAAATTCAGTATATTCATGTGATGCCTTTTCTTTCTTTTCAGGAAGAATCTGTGGAGTTGAAGTGACCAACGTGGCACCAGTTGCAGACCTCAGACCCACCTCTGATGTGGTATGTGACCTGAGTCCAGTTGACCATGGACCATGAGCTGAGGATGGGCCTGTCCGTGTGGGCCATTGTGGCCATTGTTTGTAACTCTGTGGTGGGCGTCCTCATTGTCATCCTCTTCGTCATCCTCTACAAGGCCTGCAAAGTGCCTTCACACCAAGAGAAAGTGCCAGTGTTCACAGCAAAGCCGGAGCAGAAGAAGGCAGAACAGAAGTATCTGCTGACTGCAGCCTGATCATGACTTGAAGAGACTGACTTGAGATGTAGGCAAAATTCATCTTTGTCTATCTAGTAGAGAGCGTACAGAGCGTTAGACCATCTCAATTTTGGATGATCTTCTTTATTTCTCTTCCTCTTCAACCACTCTTGTCAATATTCTCACTCAGTAACTCCTTTTGTTTTAGAAACTGTTCAGTTATCTCCATCATTTGCCCCTCGTCTATGCCATTCAGTGGAGCTCAGAGTGCGCTAACTACGTTAAGAGTTGTGGCAAGACCAACAACAATAACAACAAGAGGGCCCAATCCTCTTATCTCTGCTGTGCATCACTGGGACTGTCCATCTGTCAGTGTGTTCGCTTTACACAGGCAGACCATGATCTCCCCCTCTACTCCATTTTTTTTTATCCCTACATATGAGGCAACTGAGAGGATGTGGAGGAGAAATAGCAAAAAGACAGTGGATTGTAACAGGAATGTTTGGGATGAAGGGTTTGGTTGAGAGTCAGAACAGCATGTTATAGTGAAAAAGAAAATGTAGCCCTGTAGCTCACAAGTGGCTTTGTGTTTGCTAGCTGCAGCACTAATGATGGCAACGTTGGAGCTACAAACAGACGACAGGTAGATGCTGTGTGAGAGCCAAGACAGTGCAGAGAGGGAGACAGACGGAGATTTGGTGGGGGATGATAAAGGGCAGGGGAAGAATCAGAGAGAGGATGCTTTGATGTGTTGTTTACAGAAAGGGAGCTCGCGGCCCCTGTCTGACAGTTTCCCTATTTGACACGCAAGTCTCCGCTTCCACCGATACGACTCATGGGATTAAAAGCAACGTCAGAAGTGTTACTGGTGTCCCGGTGTGCCTCTCTTTCATTTTGTGAGCTCTTCTAAAGACTGAGTAAGATATTTGTACACAGCGTTCACCAAAAGTGACAGACTGACTAAACACAGTCTCACATTAACGAGTGACTTTATTGAGGTGAATGTACAGCGGCTAACACACTAACTGTGTAATATCAATATTGTCTAAAGGATGGAAGAGAGATGGGATACACCAGCATGATTTTGGAAATACAATTATGATTGGTGCATATGAATATATGCACCAATCATAATTGTATTTCCAAAATCATCGGAATAAGTGCTGCATGCCTGTGCAGCAATGTATGAAAAAATAAAAAATGCAGATTTGATTTTCTGTCCAGCACTTTCTTTTCCACTTAATTTAAGGGATATTTCTGTGCAATTTACATTTAATGATGAACAGTAATTTGTCCAGAAATTCCTACTTGTGTAATTGATTTTTCAGTTCAGTTAAAATCAATTGTTTGGTATTTAATAAATCATGTACACATATAAGTTACAGCTTCTCATGTGTGAACTTTTCCTTTCATATCTATGTACATTGAATATCTTGAGTTTTAAAAAAAAGATGTTCGAAGGCATCACTTGGGATTTTGGCAACTTGCAGTGGTCATTTGTCAAAATAAACCTTTTTTTTTGCAGCCCTACACTTTTCAGAATAGCTGTTGTTTCACTGTGATGATTGCCATTGTGCTCCATGCCTTTTGTTACTGACAGTTAATGCTTTCCTGACATTATTGAATTATTTACTCTCGTTCATAGTGTGGTACGCAATCGGTGTTTCCATGCCCCTTTGGCGTGTAGCTTCCTGCTTCGAAGTAATGAATGCGGCAATGGAGCAGTGGATGAGACACATGCCTGTGGTGTGAGAGACCTGGGTTTGATTCCCACTGTGACACATTTACCAATGTGTCCCTGAGCAAGACACAATCCCTAGTTAATCCAGAGGTGTGCAATCTCTGTCATGTAAAGCAATTGTAAATTGCTTTGGATAAAAGTGTCAAGGTAAATGTAATGTAAAACATATTGAACTCAACAGTAACCAACCCCATACTGGTACTTTCACTTAGGTACTACATTTGATATTTGGCAGCTGTAGTTACTTGACAGATTTTGACTTATATGAAAATCATTAGATGTGTTCATAATACACATTGTAGTAGATTAGACTACTCAACAGTATATAAAATAAATGAGAGAGTAGATCCCCTTGACCAGCTACAATATAAAAAAATGCTTATACATTTTAGACATTTATGCAGAAATAATGTGTTATAATAATACAAGAAGAGGAAGTGCCCATTCTGCGTGCATATTAAGTCATTGTACTGTTGATACTTTAAGTACATTTTGCTGATAATATTTATAAACTATTAGTCAAGTAACATTTTGAATGCAGAATTTTTACTTGCACCACTTAATAAAGGCAGAATATTGGTTTTCACTGATTTCATCTGTTTTAGGGAACTACTGACAAGATTGTAAGAGTCATGGATTAATCACATTGAGACAAAGAACTGTTTAATGTTATTTGTTTACAGTAGAGATGGATCAGATGCATGTCCAATGATTGTGTGTGACAGAAACAGAGAGTATGAATACACGTATGCACATGTGTAAAACAGTGATTTATAGCACATATGAGACAGATGGTTAGGGCCTTTGGTGGGCTGTTGATTTGAAATTGATCATCATAAAGGCAACTCAACAGCTGTCTATTGTTTATCTGCTTCCTGTCTATTTACTTGCCTGCCAGTTTCACTGTCTTCCTCTTTGGCTGTCTTCCTCTTTCCTCTGTTTCTCTGTTCCCATCTAACCAGACCAGTGCCAGACTCATGCAAACTTGCCAGCACTCATTCGGTGATCTACTCCACTGTGACTGGATATGGAGGTCAGTATGTTCTGACTCACACAGAATTTGAACCACTGCACTGACCTCCACTGTTTTTCAAGTCAGATCTTCTATTCAAGGCAGCGGAAAGAGTTCCTTAATCGATCCTGTGTATGATACCAATGAAAGAAAACACTGAATAAGATATGGTGAGATTTGATCATCCATCTGTTCTCCTTCCCATCACACTTCCATTGATCCCTCCATCTCTTTGATGTTTACTTTGAGTTCATCTGTTGAATTCATTGAGTTCATTTGAGGCAACGCTACTGAACTCTGAGAATGCATTACACAGCACCAAAGCAATTTCCCGGGTCTTCCGATGATCGTTGAGATGAAAGAGGGTCACTGAACTCAACATGGTGTTATATAATGATGAGGACAAATGCAGACAGAGTGATAACTAATAAACTGCCAGTAATCTGCAGCTCCATCTGCACTGCTGGAGGGGTTGCATAACCCACATCAGCCCAGACTGAGTCAGTGTTTGTGTATGTATGCGTGTGTGTGTGTGTGTGTTTGTGTGTCTGTGTGTATGTGTGTGTGTGTGTGTGTGTGTGTGTGTGTGTGTGTTGTAATATAATTTCTAAGTAATCAAATGTCAATCTATGTTTTGGACACTACATGCCTATAGTGTGGTGTTTTTTTAAACATTTATATTACATAATCCATGATTATATTTTGTGGCTCCAAACAGTGTATTTCAAGTGTGTTTGTGTGCGAGTGTAGGAGAAATAGCTATCAAGTCAATCTGTACACATAATAATGATAATAATAAACCTGATTCATACAGCACTTTTCAAACCAAAGTTACAAAGTGCTTTACATAGCTGGCAAATTCACCAGTATAAAATAAATTCTGTGGTTATGTATGATATGTCACAGTAACAGCATGTATGCAGAGAACAATATGGGGCTGGATGGAGCCTTGGGAAACCCCACAGGTCAGAAGGGCCACAGAAGAGGAGGCATCACTGACCACTACCGAATGTTCTGTTTAATAAATATGATTTAAACCAGTCAGGAGCAGTATCCCTTATGCCAACCCACTTTTCAAGCGGATTCAATACAATAGAAAGATTAGCTGTGTCAAACACTGAGCTGAGATCGAGTCAACAATCTCCAGCATAAACTGTAATTAAAAGATTTTGAGGATTAAAATTTCTGAAAGATACTGTGATAATTCACAAGTAAACAATCTTCTCTATAATGTTTGATAAAAACTGTAACTAAATGGTCATGGCTATGTCTCTTGAAAAGTGGGTGTGCTACTTTGTGCTCAAGGCGGGAGGGAATACAGCCAGTGGACAGAGAGCAACGGATAAAATAGTGGGACCAAAACTGTTGGCATAACATCTAAAGGATTTTATGAGGGCTTTAGTTTGGCAGTTGTGTCCTTTAAAGTGCCCAGTGAAAGGCCCTCAAAATGACTGAGAAAGGCAGAGGGATTGCAGAATGGCGAGCAACATAACATTGCTTTGAGGCTGCCTGTGCTTAAGTATGAAGTAATTAAGTATAGTGAGTACTCTGCTGGTATCTTTGCTAAAGAATGATGCAAAAATGTGCAAGGGATACATGTGTGAGGATATTTTACTTTCTGGATGTATGAATAATTAACAAATTGACAAAATTCTAATCACATGTAATCAGATCTCCGTAACAGGACCCCTGTAAAGTCACAAACACTCATCACAGTCATTAAATCGATTTTGACAACAGCGCAGCTCTGATATCAAAATCATTATAATTCAGTTTAGTCAGTATGAATGTTTATTCTGTCAACAGAAGTCTAATTAAAGCATGAAACAACCTGAAATAATGATGGTGATAGGAAAAAGTATCAGTATGTATGACACAGCAGGAAAAACAATAGTGTGAGTGTGTGTGAGATATGTGGAGCAATAGAGTGAGAAAATTAAAGAAACAGAACTTAATATTTTCTTCTTTTCCCACAAAACGCCAGTGCCTCACAAAAGACAAGTGTCTCACATCACCCAAACTATTAAAAGCCGACCAGATATGCTGCTATATTCATATCTCATGCATATGCATGACCAAAAGTATGACCTCCACCTGTTTACATTTTGCAGACTAAAACACAATGACCTGCTTGACCCTGCTCACACCTCATTGTCATTCATTGCCCATCTAGCCTGTGTCCCTTCTCTCCTGTAGAATCAGACTGCCACCTGCTGGCTCAGCCTTTAATGCGTGCTGCCTCTAGTTGTAACCATGTTGGCTGCAGCAGTGGCTGACTGCTGCCAAGACCCTTCTCCATTATTGTGCAACAGAGCATGCTACTGCTGCTCTCTGCTGGTATTTCCAGGTAAGTTGTGTCAGTGACTTTCAATAGGAACGAGTCACAACGTCACAAATGTTCTTCTGGCAGGTCATCATTAGCCACAGGTTATGTTAGCCTATTTTCTAGAGAATGTATAATTAATGTGCTCCATGATGGTCATTTGATTTTTTTAAAATTTAGTTTAAAGAAGTAAGATTTTTCGTGCCAAAATATATGGTCATCCAATAATAGTTAGAGGCACACTGTACATTACTATGATTTAAAATGGAAGGTTTAATTAGTTTTATAATTAATGTACAAAACTATAATATAGAAGGTAATTGTTACTTGGAGTGGATACCCAACGGGGGCATACAGGGAATGAACAGAAAAATGCAATATCCCTGCAAGAAATCCTATTTTTGTGAAGTTTCTAGTGATGTTTCTGTTGACACTTTCAGTGAGACTCTCTCAACAGTTCAACAGTTTGCTCTAAACTGCATTTCTTTGTATTTTACATACAATGACAATAAAGTCTCTCTCTAATCTAATCTGCAAAGTAAGTTGCATGAAATGGAAGTACTCAAGTAAAGTACAATGCTTCAAATTTGAGTAAATGTACTTATTGTAGTAAGTTTGGATTGTATTGCTGCATGTTGTGAGGTGTACCCTGTTATTGTTCCAATTCCCTGTCATTTGTATGAAGGTGGATCATTTGAAGGTCTCAATTACAACTGTTTTTTAAACTCATCCACATGTCCAAGCAAGAGTATTGTACCTTGTTCATAGCCAGTGTTGGAAGAAGAGTGAGACTCGACATAAGTAAAATAAAATAATGTGAAAACACTGTATTACAGAGGCAACTGTTCTGCTTTCAATTTACTTAAATATAATTAACAAAGCAATATCAGTAAAACTGGTCATAATGCACACTGACCAGTGAGGTATATTATTACATATCGTTGTATTGTTGCTGAACACGAAGGAAGCATTCTAAGGTTGTAACCTTCTGACTTGCTTGTTGGGTAGTTTAATGTATAACAATACATCATATTTTATTAGCTGATGGGTTTATGTGAAGTTTGAAATTATAAATCTCAGATAAATGCGATTTAAAAGATTGAAAAGTAAAATGTCTTTCTGAAATATAGTGAAGTAGAAGTGTAAATTATTCTCAAGTAAAGTGGTACCTTGAAATTGTACTTAGTTGTTCAAAATGTACTTGACTAAATGTACTTTTACTTTTCACCATTGTTGATAGCAAACAGGATGCTAGTGTTGCCATGAGGCAGAAAGCTACTGCAGTTCCTTGATTGGTGACTGTGGTTGATTAAAGTCATATAAACTAAGTGATCCTAATTGTTCAGGAGGAAACCAAATATATTCAACGTTAAGAATATACTGTAACAACTATTACTGCTGTTTTACAGAGACATTTTTTAGACGTGTGTTTTGTCCCTGATCTAGTGCAACAATT